ATACTATGACGGTAAAACGATTAAAGCAATTGCGATTAGAGGGGATTCATGAGTCCTTGATTGCAAACTGAAGGTTTTCTTTGCCAGCCGAGTCATCTGTCAACTGGCAAGACAGATCCTCGCTTTAGAGCACAGTAGAATGGCAAAGGAAGTATCATGAAAATTCTCTCTATCGAGATTGCCTCGAACTCAATGAAGCCTAGACCTTGGCTGCATACACATACTCCCAACAAAGAGGAAAGCGTGGAGAAACTGATCTGATCATGCTGCGTAAATGCAACAATAACACCTACAACTTTACAGCGAGGTCATCCTTGAAGGATGTCAGCTCCTAAAAGGGTCCACCATGCTGGCAGCTCGTAAAAAATATATGAAATCGTATGTTTTCGTCCAGCCCTAACGAGTAGTTACCCTATCATTTAGCCCAATGAGACCAAGGATACGTGAAAAATAAATCGCTTCAATCCGATCAAGCCGAAAAGAGTGCCCCTCCTATACTGACCTGGTAGCCATGTAGCCACCGAGAGATCTGATGAGGGCGGAGGTGTATACGAAGTCGTTCCGGAGACTCCACCACGCCTAACGTCGCCTGGTCCTTGGGGCCCTGTTTCCTGACCCGTGGTCGGCGAGTCGAGTTTTCCGGGACCGAGGACAAAAGAGGGCCCAGAGACTGAAGAACGACCAGCCCCCGGAAACCCTGCGGATGGTGAGGCACAACCGGACGTCTCGTCACTCGGCGAGACGACGACCCCGACGGCGGAGAGTCCGGCGAGGTGAAGAGCCCCGACATCGGTGAGGGTTGGTGAGCAAGAGTGCCGCAGGGCGGAAGGAGACTCTTCCACACCTTCCATGCCTGCGCTGCTGGATCCGGCCGCCGAAGCCAAGCCTGCCGCAGACGCGTTCAGGCTGGCCGTCATGGTAGCCACCATGTTGTTGGTTGGCCGGCGTTCATTCTGCACCGCTTCTGAGCGCATCCCCACGAACAGACATTTCTGGAGACGACAAAACTGGCAGCGGTTGCGGTAGGCCTTGTTGACGATGCAGTTCTGGTCTCCACGGCAGGCGTAATGAACGTGGCCGCGAATGGACCGTTTGAAGAAGCCCTTACAGCCCTCACACGAGATGACGCCGTAATGACGTCCTGTGAAAGCAACGGACACATTAATCATTCTAAATGCAACATTTAACACATTACAAATGACCATTTTGATTGGAATAGACTGATTCAAAAACAACACTGATAATTAATCACAAATACAATCATATCCTCGAAAAGGAACACACTTGTGTAAGGCTCCCCTGGTTACCTCTACAGTGAAAGAATCTCTCAGAAAATTTGTGCTACTGTACAGTCTCGATTGAAAAGGTGGATGGAAAGGATTCATAAATTGGCCCCACCGGAGACCCCAGTTATTGCGATTGTGGATCTGTGTAAAGACGATTGAGAGTTAAGTGACGTTTTTGTAAAGCATGCATTCATACTATGACGATGTTTATCGCATTTAGGAAGTAGGCTCTGTGTGGATTCATTAGTGTGTGCTGAGAACGTCTACGCGCAGCTGAACTAAAAAACAATCCTCCCTCAGTCGCTGGTGAGGCTAATTAACGAATCCCTTCCAGCCACCTTTTAAGACGAACTAAAAGATTCAGCAACATGAATATGCTATTGTATTATTCATGAAATCGATGATATTTGAGGTTAGATGTCGTCCCGGTACTCTCCGTAATTCATTTGGACATTTGATTTTAGAAGCATTTTTAATTTACAATTGTTGAGCCCATTTACAGTAAGCGTGAAGGTGAATGATAAAGAGATTCAAAGGTTGTTCCAAACGAAAGACTATGATAGAGCTTATTTAATTGACTGGCGCTCGGCTATACAAAACGTTGTGGTTGGCATTGTCTTCGAAGTAATCGCCTTCGGTTGAGCCTTCGTCTGCCGTGCAAGTTGACAGACATTCTTAGAATTAAGTTAAACCTAGAATTTCTATCGCAGATATGAAGACAAAGATTGTGCTTTTTCGCAAGTCTTCGCATTGTTGTATGCGACCTAGATGAACGCATCTTGTCTAGCGTCCTTTGGTATAGTAGTCATGATAACTTCCAGCATCGAAACATGGACCTGGAATATTCACAAATGTTGCGTAGGCATCGTCGTCGGCATCATCATTAAGTCAGGCAATTATGTGAACAAAGGAAGAGTATTCTGTATGCTAAGAAAAGCAAGACACACTGGCGATGCCGGCTATGATGCAAGCGCAACATCTGGGAATGCAATAATTCCATGGTCCAACGCTGGAACTTGTCATGGCTACTACCGCAGAGAACTCTGGACAAGATGCATTCATCCAGGTCGTTTTGACAACACGATCAAGTGTCAAAAACGAGGTCAAACACCTTCGAAACTTCCTTGTCACTGCCTAAATCAGGTGGTTA